ATATGGACGATTGCTTTTGCATCATGAAGATGTCTGGAGTTGAAAACTTCAGACAACACCTAAATTCCGTGCGCCCAGCCATACAATTCACGACTGAGTGTGAAAATGACCGCTGCCTGTCCTTTCTCGACGTCCAGGTGGCAAGGAAGCGAAACGGCCTGCAGTTCTCTGTTCACAAGAAGCCAATGCACACTGGCCGCTTTCTTCAATTTGATTCTTCCCACCCCGACTGCCACAAGGCCTCGGTTGTGACCACGCTACTCCAGAGAGTTAAGAACTTACACTCCAATGACACGTAGCGAAAGAAAGAAGAGGCCCACGTAATTACTGACCTCAGAAAAAATAGATAACCAAAAAACTTCATTCGAGCCGCCACCCACCATGCAGAGCAACAGAGAACACAAAAACCTCGATCAACCTTAATTGACAGCCCCCCGAAACGCGTACCGGTCCTATACAGTCAGGGAAGCAGAGAGATGTTGGCGCAGATCTTCAAAAAAGAAGGGGTTCGCATCGCGCACGTGCCTTGGTGTTTGCTGAGCCGCCTTCTCCCCCGCCTGAAAGACAGGCCAACAATAGACAGGACCCCTCGTGTCGTTCACGAAATTTCGTGTGCCGAGTGCCCTTCTTTGTAAATCGGTGAGACGAAAAACCTATTGGAACGACTGAAGCAACACGCCAATGATTGCAGAAGCTCTACAAAAAGAGCGCAGCGCAGTCGCCGAAGATGCTGAGACGTTGCATCACCGGATAAATTTCGAAGCAACGGCCATCCTTATAAGCAAGTTGAACTGAAGGAGAAGATTACTACTCGAGTCGTAGCACATACGGAGAATAGCCCATAACATCACCCGCTCTCTCGGAGCCCTTCTCCCAGTGTAAACACATGGACTGCGCTCCACGACAAAATGAGAGAGAGAGGAAGGGTCATTAGCCGCCCCGCAAGTGCTTTGAAGACGCTGCTGGTGCTTAGTCCTGCAGTCACCCCTGAGGAAGGAACCAAGTCGGTTTCGAAACGTTGGGTTTCTTTAAAAACTTTTGGTAGGAGTTTTAATCATCTCCCAATGTTGTTTTAACAATTAAAAATGTTGCAACAATGTTACTGTAAGTTCTCCAATGTTACACAGCAAAACACAACATTCGAAACATTGCCTTAATGTCACAGCAACACTTTCTGTCCAATTTCTGTCCACGCTCTTCCTATACAAATACCTGAACACCTTCTCTGCCCCTCTACTCTTCTTCATTATCCTAAGCCTCTCTTCAAATCTCATTTTGCTCCAAGCTTCCCTTACTTCAAAGCTTGTCTATCCCATATCCCTTTTTACAGTCTCATTTGTCATCTTCCTGTGAGCGCTCAATGCGAGGCGTCCCACAGTCCTTTAATTTACATCCATTCCCTATTACACCCTTGACTTCACGCACATCACTTAGTTCCCAATGTAAGCCCTGGAATCATTATGCCTTTCCACAGGCCTTGAAACACATCGTACTTATTGTATCCCTGTAATGCTCCATGCTTCATTATTGCGGCATTCCTCTTTTTCTTTGCTGCCGATGTTTTTTCCTGTACCTCCATGTATCTATCTCCCTCATTTACCCACACTATGAGGTAATTGTACTTGCTTACCCTCGGTATTTCTTGGCCCTGTATGGAGACCGCCCGGTCTTTGTGATCATTGAATGCCATCAATTCACATTTCGTTGCCATAAATCCTAGTCCTAGAGCCTTGCCTTCCCTTCCGTATATATCTGCCAGCTACTGTATATCGTCTTGAGTGTCAGCAAATAGAACAATGTCGTCTGCATAAAATAGACCTTGAAGCTTCTGTTCCTCCATAGCACAAGCCTGTTTGATTGACAGATTAAACTCAACGTTGCTACTTTCAAGTGCGTTTTCCATCCTCACCATGTACTGCATTAATAACAGCGGGGACAAAGAAGATTTCTGTCTCAGCCCCTTGTCAATTTTAGCGCCCTCATTGCTACTTATTCGTTCTCATTGTATGTAAGCTGTATTTTTTTGTATAAGTTGTATACAGTCGTCACATATGCCCACTTCCTTCAATATGTTCCACAAAATTTCCTGATGAACGTTGTCATACGCCCCAGTGATGTCTAAATAAGTTACGTATAAGGACATGATGTATTATCTCACCACCTGTCAGTCCAGAATTCATTCTGAAGTTCTCCCAAACTACCATTTGACTTTGCCCAGGTTTCTATTTTTAATTTTACTGCCTGCATCGCTAACCTGTATAGCACAAATGTAATGGTTAGCGGCCCATATGCACGTATGTTAACCTTTTCTGCCTTGCCTTTATATATTAAGTTCATTCTACTTTTAAGCCAAGTGTCTTGTATTTCCTTCTCCTGTAAGCACTTTTCTACGGATTTAAACAGTGCTTCTTTAGTGCTATGTCCTAGTTGCTTAATGAGGTGGACGGGAACTCCATCTAAGCCCAGAGTAGCACACTTAGGAATTTTTTCTTCGACCTTTTTCCAATTGAAATTCTCAAGTTCTACCTCTTCCTCGGTTGCACCTTTTCCATACTTTTACTCTCCGGGGAAGCCTCCTGGGCAATCTTTTTAAATGAATATGCTGTTACTTTTCGAACATAACCTACTGCTTTGTACCTTTCTAATTTAGCTGAGTTTAGTGCCCCTAACAGGGAAAATGCAAACTAATTTATCCGACCGCTAAAAGAAGATTGAGTAGGTTCACTATATGCCCATCTCGAGGAAACTCGCCGCGCTCGATTTTTTTCGCCCTCTACAGCCATTGCTGGGACTTGAGAGTTTTCGGGGCCTGGTATTGCCAAGTCGGAACTCCGCCTGCGCGTGCGCCCGCTCCTCGACCCCGCTTTGCTGTGATGTGCCTCAACGTCACTGCTCTGCCTTTTGTCAGACGCTCTGCTGGGAGCGAAGTTTTGCAACTCTGGCGAAGTTTTGCAACTTTAGTGGGCTCGGGCGATGGCTGCCGCTCCACTCTTAGGGCAATATCGCTCACATATGAAACAGGCTTAACGAAGCTTAAGAAAAATAAATCGGGTGCCTCCATGAACCATAGTCTGGGTTTTACACCTTTCTCAAGAAATCAAAACTAATTCACCCTAAAATTATTGACGGTCTTTTTGTGACTCCTTTACAATGATAAATAGAAGTACATGAGCCAGTGTCATTTGCGGCTTGGAAGAAAATGACACTGGCTCACGTTAAACCCCAACTATTATTAATGATGCCGGGTGGAGACATGGTGACGTCACTATACTATCGTGAGACCATAATGCTACCAGAGATGACGTGAAATCGGGCACCAAGTTGTAGCAGCAATTTAAAAAAAAATTTCATCTGAATTCTAATGTCTCGTGACCAATTTATAATGAATCAAGGACAACACATTGTACTGTTTCTGTCATCGGCTTTATTTCTGGACATTATTCTCATATCTCTGAAGCCGCTATGTAGGAAGACTGATCATCATTATCAGCCTAATCTATGTCCACTTCCCAATGATCCCGATTGATCCTGTCCATTCAGTGACAACGGTTTAATAAAACAGCTTCTGTGAGACCAGCGCCTATAGTTTTCCCAGATGGCACGGACACATTTACCCAGGTGATGGGTGGCTTTAATGCAATAGGCAATATATGTTATGATCGGTTTGGATCTAGTGAAATGCTACGTTATGAGATCATTATATATAGGTTGACACACTGCAGCGACTGCAATCACCAGGAGGGAAAATTGTTTTGATATAGGCAGAGTGACACTTCAAAGTGGAATGTGTGGAAAGCAACGTAAAATGAATTATGTTTTCATGTCTTTTGTACTCCTCCAAGGACTGTAGCCACCTTCATTCGAGAAGAAACGTGTCATGGGTGAAAGACCACAATGCACATTTCAAATGGCGAAATACGGCGACAATGAGTGAGGCCATAATTATGGTGCGTATACCCACCATGCGTCCATGTACAGGATTGGTTAAAGGAAAGCTCGTGGCGCGTGACAAGATCTACTGTGGACAATCCCAGAGAAGGAAACGGCACTGTTTTGTGGGGCTGTGAGCCTCTTAGATCAAAGAAGTTAGCGTCACTACAGCGACGTAAGCAGTAGCCGCCCGGTTCTGGAGGCTGTAGACGTGAAAGGCCCGGGGAGTGGCTGTCGACCTCAAAAAACCTGAGTGAGGCTATCCGGATTTGCCGCACTTCTTCACAGCAATTCTAGGGGCACTTACAGCTCTTCTAGTTCGTGCCTGGATGGTAGCACCCAACACCACAGTCATTGGAGTGCCACGTCATTTGGGTCTGGCAGCATGAAACGGCGCCAATGACGATAAAGTCCTTGCTTGGGTGTGTTGGTACGGCGGACAGAGTGCTTTGTAGGGGTCCTTGTTTGTCTGGTTTCTCATTTTCGCGTTGTTTTTTTCTGGTATAATAATGATGAGTTTGGCCTAACCTGGCTAGGCCGAAGACGACTGGGACACTGTCGATAACAAGCCGCTCATTGGGTGGAAGCAACCGAAGGTGACATTAAGAGATTGTGGAGGAAGTCGAAGGCAAACTAGACAAACCACCGACACGGCAAAGGCACGGAGTCGACGTGAGCTGTAAAAACGCTTGCGTATACCCACACGCCATATGAGATATATTCTGGCTAGGACTAGAGGCAGACCTAAACTGGATTGCAGTAGATTTTTGTTTGATTATGTACAGGTTTCATTATTGAGTTAATTTCAGTGCTCCCGAGGGTTGTTTTTCTTCCCGTTTTGTTTTGTAAGGTGTGTTTGTCTTGCCACCACTGTATGTCGTGTCCTTCTATTTCATTTTTACCATTTGCGAGCACTCCTGAGATAATCGTGACCACACATGAGCTAGTCATTAACATGGCACTGAGTAAAGACAAAGCAGCAGATAAGTTTTGTTCACACGAAATGCAGTTTCGCACACTAACCTGGCTATCTTTTTTTGTGCGGGTCTTTCTTGCTTTGTGTTTGAGCGATGGTGTTGGGCTATACGGTTTGTGTCATCAACACGCAGGTGAGTGTGTGTGAGCTGCTGCCCGCGGATCGTCGCCAGCAGCAGATCGAGCAGGTTGTGGTGTACGACCAAGGGTCCTGGTCCGTGCCTAGCGGCGATGACTCCTTCATCGTCGTGCTCCTGGCAAAACTGGCCAGAGCCTTTCCAGGAAGTGTGGCTCTCCTTACAGGTGAGTGGGTGACTGTGATCTGGACTTCCAATTGAATGTAACTGAGTTTATTCCTCCTGTTTGCCAAAGAAAAGAAGCAGAAGGCAAAGGCCATCTGGCCAAAACAGAAAAATATGACACTCGCGAAAAGAAAATGTCATGTGTGCAAGAAAACATCGAACATTGCTGCACGGCCTCCTAAGTCGCGGCTGCATACATCTTCCAGCTAGAAAGTGGTACCAGTGTTGCGTGCTAGGTAATCTGCCTTTTGCATGGCTTTAAAGCGCATGCCCAGCCTTCTGGTGGCAACTCTGGGAAACGATATGTGGGGGTGCTGTCGCAGAAGCTTCTTTTCGGCGGCATCGTTGGTGCGAGCGGGCGGCACAACAAATATATTTATCTAAACATCTTGTTCAATAGCGCGATGCTGGCAACGTGTGCCGCTTATGGATGCACTTCCCGAGGCGTGCCTGGCAGCGACATACATTTCTATCGCTTCCCATCGGTGAAATACGATCGTCAGTGCAATGAAGCATGGATCACTTCGTCAAAGGTAGGTGTATTATTTAAACGTATTAATTTAGTTGTTTTAAGTGAAGAGCACGTGATGCTTTCTGCAGGGCAGAGAACAAGTGTGTGCTTTGTATTAGTCTTGTCGAACAACAGTTCTGTAGTGACGAAGCTCGTGCTATGGCTTTTTTTTTTCCTAGGATGTGCTTTCTGCATTTGTTTTCAAATGACAACAACAACAAATTGTGGCCAAGTGCCCCTTCGATCGACTCAGTCTCAACGTAACTACGCTGTTTACTTGGGCGTCTTCTATATATCAGAAGAGTTGCCGTAAATTTTCTGCCAGAACGTAATGGTTGCTTTTAAGGATGCAGTTTCATTGACTGACGTTAACTGACCGGTTCATTTCTATTGTCAAAGCACATCCATTGTTCGGGGTAAAAAGAAAAAAATTCACATATTTTGACTGTTGACGTGACTGCTGCACACCGATTCATAAATCTTGTGGTGTTCTAGTTACATTAGAGAAGTTTCAACGTGCGTTTTTTTTTATTACTCATCTTAATGTGATGTTGCACGGATTTCGTAGGTTCGCCGTCCAACTCGCCCAGGCACCCCGATTTTGTGCCATTGATGTTTGTCTACATCAATGTGTTTAAGAAGAAAGATGCCTTTCAATGCTTCTCACGCACGGCAGCGCATATAAGACAGTGCTATGAGCGCTGACAATGTACACTTTGCGTAAGCAAATGCAGCACGACAATTGAGTGTGCGCTTGCATAACACCAGCTTTTGTATACAATCTGCTTGTCAATATTCTTCGTCAATGCATTAGTAGCTGTGAAATATGTCAACGTAATCTTTTGTGTATGGTTATTTGTGTTACTTTTTGGAACGAGCCCATACTGAGGTAAAAACTTCATTTTTGATCGTTATATTGTACTTCTCAGCACTTTCAGGTATAAGTATCTTGTTTGAGCTGTAGAGTGCTCGAAGTAGCGCTATCGTTTACTTTCCGCGCGAATTTTTCTCTTCACTGATTTGCTTATTTCACAACTTGACCTGTTCCTGTTATGCCAGTTGCACCAAAAAAATATCCTGGGGCAGCTGACACCTCTACAGAATGTGAGTTGTCTCCCTAAAAAACTAGTCTATACCACTTTTATGCAAGTATTTCAGTGCAGTTACACCTACCTAATCATTTTCTCAGGTGAAGAAAACTCTGTGGCAATGAAGCAGTCAGATGAGGGCTATTCTAAGACCACAGATGAGAATTTTATAAGCTTAGTCTGCTTAAAATATGACATGACTTGCTGTAGTCGGTAGCACAAACAACCCATCACTTGGGCTGTTTGTGCTTGTTGTGCAACTCTGCAGCACGAAAATTTGAGCTTGTTGGAAACAATCTTTTAGTCAGTGCATTGCTTACAAAGTTGAAATTTATTGGACAGGACATGATCAACTTGCAACTATATTTGTATTTTAATGTACATAGGTTCGCACAACAAAAAATACCCAAAGACAACGGCAAGACATGCCAACAAAAAAGCACTGCAACAAAATGCTGCACAGACAAAAAAGCTACAGCTGTATTGGTGCACTGTTCACTACCTCAAGTTTTAAGTACTTCAACACCATGCATATCTGCGACTGTGTGCACGCTGCACATATTTATTACATGGTGTGTCTCACATTTGTTGGCAGTGTAGTGAAAGAAACTTGTTTGTCTGCAATGCCCATTTCTTAGCGAATGAAGGCACAGTGGAAACGTGTATTGCATTCATTTTTTTTTTTCCATTGAAAGAACATTTTTAGCAAGCTTGACTTGTCACGGGGTATGCAAATATTTCATATAAAAAACTGTTATGCTTTAATCATATTTGCAAATTTTCTTTATGCAGGAGGCGTGATGGATGCCGAAAAAAAGGGACATCTATGGCAGCAGAGGTAGACACCTACAATTGTTGATAGCCGAGCAGATTTTCAAGCATATGTACACACTTGTTCTTATTATCTCCCTTGTATTTCTTGCATTTATAGGCGACACTTTACAAGAACGTGAAAGCCCAGCTGCACTTCTGCAGCTTCACACTACTCCGGTTACCGAGCAGCAGGTGGAGGATGCTAGGACAAGCGAATTGGACAGCTTGCCAAGAGAAAATATGGCAATGACTAATAAAATTCAGAACCTAGAAGCCAAATATAAAAGGTTTCAATCACGGGCCCTTTCTGTTAACACTGTTCAAAGTTCCACTTTTAAGCTTTATACTGGGTTTACATCCAGAGACCAATTTGATGCTTTCTCTTAACGGGTAAAAGCAAATGCAGAAAAAAAGGTATATTGGACACCCCTGAATAATAAGGTACAAGAGCCTCAAGTTTACTATTGTTAGCGTCCTCTATCCCGCTTTTGGTAAAATTTAGGGTGTCGCCGGTATGGCCGTAAAAAGGTGAAAATTGATAGAAGACACAACACACAACTCACGCACTGTCATGAAAATGTAAACAAAAGAAGGCTGTATTTAATTAAAAAACTAGGTTACAATTATTACTCGCTCAACCGTTCAATTCCGCACATCGCACAACGCACAACCGCTCAAGTCGCTCGCAATTCGCAGACTCTTGTTCGTTCGCCGTTCTCGCTGTGTCTCTGGCTCTTCCCGCGCTTTCTCGCTTTCCTCTCTCGACCACAGATCCGAGTACACATACGCGCACGCTGACTCAAACGCGCACGCACCACATACACACACACACGCACGTGCACAAATTGTTCCACGAAGTCAGTGGGAGAAGTCCGTCGCTTAGCCATTCGGGGAAACAGTGTCGAACGTCCCACTGACCACGGATGCACAAAGCGGAATGTTTCCCTCTTCTTGCACCCGAACTCGCAAGGTGCAATAAAGCGGGCCGCCGCCTTTGTGCTGACCCGGCGCCCGCAGGTCTGGGAGGCTCGCCGATCGCTGCTACCTGTAAACAAGGAGGACGGCCCCCTCGAGTGACCAACGGACACTCGCATGGCACAACACACGCAAAAAGAAAGAAGTAAAACAAAACTTAGAAGATTTGAAGCAGTCGCTTACACTCGGTCGTCCTGACAGTCATTAACGTCCTCGTTAATGACTGTCAGGACGACCGAGTGTACGCGATGGGTTTGTTCATGATTTTTTTTGCATTAACGTCCTCGTTAATGCAAAAAAAATCATGAACAAACCCACACGCCAATACACAAACAGAATTGTTTCCTTCGTCGAAGAAGACAAGAAAAGAAAAAGAGCAACTGTTCAAGTTCGCACAGTTCACTCGGTAAATCTCGGCACGCACTGAAGTTCTCAACAGACGCCAATGCAACTATGGTGCACTCGCATAGGGATGGCTCTTGGCCCAGCTACGGGCCGAACGTCTCAGTCGCTGCACCTCACATTCGGGAGCGTCCAACTCCTGCGCAGACTCTCCGTCGTCATCAAGGTGTGAATGCGCATTGGTCGTTGTCCAGCACTTCATTTGCGACACGTGCGCAGTGGTCGCGAAGCGGCTCGCCCTTCTTTCGTCAAGATCGGCAACTCGATACGTGTCAGCTGGCAACACTGCCGTGATTACAAGGGGGCCCCTATATTTTGGCTGGGCTTTGGTAGGCTTTCCCGTCTGTTCTGGAGCCCTCGTCATGAAGACCACGTCACCGACACCGTACATTTTAGCCGGGAAGTGGCGCTTGTCGTAAGCGACCTTCATCTTCTTCTGCTCGCTCACGAGGCGCTGCCGTACACGTTCGCGCAGCCCGCCAGGCTCCTCCCACTCTGACGCTTTAGATTCAACCAAGCGCTTCAGTGCCAAGCTGTGAAATTCCGGTCGATAACCGTGTAACATCTCGAAGGGAGTCTTCCCGGTCATCTTGTTTACAGCGTTGTTCAAGCTGCACTCTGCCTCACTGAGCTTTTCGTCCCAATCTCGCTGCTCTGTATCGACCATCGATGTAGTAATGACTAGGCTCGCATACTCGGAATGTGTCTCAGTTCCGATTCCCTCTCTTTTGCACTCTCCGACGATGTCACGTATAGCCTCTCGCTTTGCTCATTCATGCGGTAGAGCCAAACAGCCACGGGTGCGCTACCTGGTATCTCCTGTATGTCCATCGAAAGGGCAGGTGTGCAGCCAAGTTCGCTGAGATTGGCGGCGAAACAATCCCGGTACTCATTTAGGAGGCACGCGAGCTCACGAGGCTGCTCCTCTGTTACGGAGGGGCCCATTTTAATTTCCTCGCACCCAATCGGCCGTCGCGCCTCCGTAACCAGAATTTGTTCTGGCTTCGCCGCGCTGTACTTCTCTCTGCACTCATTTATTTCCTTCATCTCGCAACCCGGGATGTCCACCTCTGTCGCGTGGCCAAGTCTTTGTCCTTTACGTAGAACCACGTCATCATTTCCGCTCGTAAACACCGGCACGGTAACCTCTCCGTCCTCCATGTCAACAAGAATTTCGCACCCACAGTTGTTGAATAGCACTGCACCAGTGAC